TGTGAGATATTTAGCCTTCCCTGTCAGAGAGCTCTGGTGCTCCACCAAGCTATAAATCCCAGGATTCCATAGCATTGAGCCATGGCAGTTAAGCTGGTGTGAAATGGGATTATTTCTGCAGTGTGTATTAGACCTGTGGTAGCTGAAATAAAACAGAGGACTAGAGAAACAACACAATATTACGTACTGACAAAAATCCGAATAATTATTATTTTTAAGGGCAGTATATTGGACAATGTACCATTTAGTCAGTTTGTAGATATGTTTTATGGATTCCAACAAACAGTTCTACTATTAGACTGTATTGGTATAACTATACAATACTTATGTATAAAATGCAATTTATCATAACATAGTCCAAAAGGCACAGGAATCACTCCAGCTTCTGATTACAATATAACTGCTTAAAAACATAATAATAATCCTGCACTGTACAGTAATCATTGGGATTGTTGTCAGTGTTTTACATAATAAAGGCTTTGCCTGTTGGATTTCCCTCTGTCACATGTCTGTTGAAGGCGGAGAACCTCTACTAAGGGTCACATACCTAGAAAAGGATAGTAAGCACAGTTTTAAAGATGTCATGAATTTTTGGGGATACTATAGTCAACGATTAACTAGTAGGTAGGATTGTCCTTAACAACGGCCCAGTGCCTTTAACTGTGTTCTGATATATGGTAGGCCTTGCAATCACAGATTCTCCTTGCATAAGAGGATCATGAAGGATAATACTTCACCAGCATTCAACTCTGTATGGATTTTAGTAAAGCAAGGTTAGCAGGGCAAAAATATGATACTAGATAACAGTGGGTGGGAAGGATGGATAATTTAATTCAAGATTCAAGAGGTGAATTAACTCTTCATTTAGCTGATTGCTTTTATAATCAGTTTTCTAAATGCTGTTAATTGTTGTTGTGTGCTGTTTCAGACTTGTCCCTGGATTTTCTTTGCTAGCTATATTCAGACTGAGAGTGTTCAGCTTTGTCTTCCTCTGAGGCTGGAAGAGTATGCCTTACCCAAGGTCACCCAGTGGGTTTCTATGGCCATGTGAGATTTTGAATCCTAGTCTCCAGAGTCATAGTCCAACACTCAAACCACTACTCCACACTAATTCTCAGTAGTGAACAAACTGTTAAAAAATAAATCTCAAGGGTTATGTATGCAGGTTGTTTGAAAATGTCTGAAGGATAGATTGTCACGGTCTTTTCTAGTCTTGAGTCACCTCTTAACTCTTCCTAGAGGTGAATTTACATCAGTACCCCATGCACAGCATTTTATCCATAGAGCTGGACTGGCGATTTATAAACTGAATTTTAATGCTCTTTCGATTGCCCAGAGAACAGTCTTTTTCTTTCTTATATATATTCAGTAATAAAAGAGGGCTGAGTTTTAGTGTTTTATTTTCCTAAAGGACAAGACTAAACAGGCATATTTAAGTGATAGACAAGCAAGAAAAGTAAACAACTATGTATTTAAATCAAATTGAGTATAATAAAGGAAGAATGTTTTGCTAGCTTTTCCATTCCATGAACTAATGAGTAAGACCTATTTTTCAACAAGTTGTTCTGCTGATAATGGTATGTTTTGTTTTGTACTGTGCATTTAAATATTAAAGCTGCTTTTCTTGTGTCCCTTAATCAGTTTGTTATTGTTCTTCCAGAACTGGGTGATGCATGTTTTTAATCATCATGAGTAGTGAATTAATTTTCTGTAAATCAGTATTCCCGACAGTAATTCTCAATATGTATAATAGTATAGCCTTTGGATCTTTTGACAGACTACCAGCATATTTTGTAAGATATTTGATTTTTGGTGACAAGATATCTACCTTTACAAACTCCCATTTCCAACCCAAAATATAAAGATAGTATTTCTGTTCACAAGACTACACAAGCCTCCATGATCCCATGACCATTTTTGATAAATCTTTCTCTTTCCTTTCCTTTAGGCTGCCTCGGTACTGCAGGAGTTTTGACTTATGGGCTCATCTGCTTTAAGAGAGGCAACACCCACCAGTCCCAAATGATGATGCGGGCTCGTATTCTCGCTCAGGGCTTCACCGTTGCAGCCTTGATCGTGGGTGTGGTTGTTACAGCACTGAAACCAAAGAAGTGAACACACTGCTGGTACGCAGCAACATGTGACTCTTCCACTGCCATGTAGAATAGGAATGAGTCCGGAGAGGGCATGTGTCACATCTTGATGTCTTGTGATATCTTTGGGGTGACCATTTGGTGCCAGAAAGTCCTGGATTTTTTATATCACTGCTAATATATTCAAGTGATTCAACCTTGTAATTGGTGTATACAGTATTTTTTTTTTCTGATTCCATATAGCTCTGTTATAAGGCCACTTTGCTATGAAAGCCAATATATTGGAGCATCTAGCATTAATAAAGCTTATTGGGAGGAAATTGTGGGAAATTATATGGTTCTGACGCACAAACCACACCACACGCACATGTCCTTGGGTCTACTATATATGATGAATAAAAAACATTTTTTTTACCTGAACAAGTGGTAACACAGTAAATGCCATTGCTCTTTCTGAAACATATGTATAGCCAAAGATTGTGGAAATAATGTCTCTTCCAATCTGTGTTCTTGTTTCCACTTGCTGAATTGCAGTGAAATTATAAACTTGCTCTTTCCTTTGTTCTCCCTGCCAACTCTTGCTGTCTCCACATGTTGCTCTCACATATGTTGGTGGTTTTTTTTACTTTCTCAGCAGCTGTTGCCAGCTTCCAAGCAACTGCTATTATATCTTTGTGCATTTAAACTGTGAACTTACATATGTGCTGTGTCAATGGTAATATGATTAGGCTTCATTTAAGTCCCTACTTGTGGGATTGCATTATTAAGCTTACATAAGATTTATTAATACCAGGGGTGAGAATCATATGGACTTCCAGATGTTGAACTGCAGCTCTCAACAGCCCTACCCAGCATAGCCAGTGGTGAAGAATGCTGGGAGTTGCAATTCAACAACAGCTGGAGAGCCTCATCATTCCTAATCCCGATCTGTCCTCTAGAGGCTGGCCTAAATCAAATTGATAGTCCTAACTAAAATAGACCCATTAAGTGAAGGAGAAATAGTTCATCTGATTTAATTAATCTTCTATGGGATTAACAATTGAATTTAAATGTATTGTTGACAAATATGTAAGCATTTCATATGGAAATTGTAGGAACAAAACAGATGTGCAACCTGAAATATACAGTTGTCCCTCTGTATCCATGGATTCAATCATCTACGACTTGAAAATATTTTTTAAAAATTAAATTAAAAAAGTGAACTTTGATTTTGCCATTTTCTAGAAAGGACACCATTTTATTACCCCATTGTATATAATGGACGAGCATCCATGGATATTGATATCCATGGGATGTCCTGGAACCAAGCCCCAGCAGATACCAGGACCCACTACATAGAGTAAGGCAAAATGCATAAAAGAGGAAGAATGGAAGAACATTGATTCCCAAAGCATTTTTTCAAGTAAAAGTCTCATATATGTTTAGTATAGTATAGCTCCATAGTGGCAAACCTATGGCACCTGTGCCCTCTCTGGCATAC